ATGCACTTTACACAATTGATGTGTGTATGGATTGTGATAAGAGTTGTATGAGACCCTAATAAAATGATTCTTTAAAAAGTAAAATAACTATTGAAAAGTGTCATTAAGAAAAAGCTAACTATAAATGAGAATCTCAAATGTCACTTTATGTTACGTATAGCATCTATCAAGTCATTTCCTTGAGATCATGTTTATTATGCACTACGCCCTCTCTTTCCACATAATTTCAAAATCAGCATTTCCTAAACAGGTTATCATATAACAATTACTTATTAGGTCCCTTCTATGTGCACAAATAAAAAGTGTGCTGTGCTTGATTAAGTTTAAGAAATACGGAGTTAAAGTTAAAAAGCTGACTAACTGCAAAAGCATTCAGCTCTTAACATATTAAAATCACCAAGGCACAGAAATGTTGGTTTTCTAAACATACTAAATAGATAGTTCTTTATTCGTAGTGTTTATTAACACAAACTAGAAGAGCTCCACACACAAAAAAAAAACACAGAAAAAAGATGTTCTAAAGAAAAATTATTAAAATTAAATCAACAAAAGCATTTCCAAATCCTCTAAAGAGCATTAAATCAATTTGTCATGACGTTACTTTTTGTCATACCTGACATTAAAGAAATGAGTCTCTGCCTGGCCTCATTTGATGCCCTTGGTGTGCGAATTCGATCAATCCATTGATATTCAGGGTCTTCATTGACCACGAGTTCTTCTACAAATCCATGAATTATCACGGCTCTATAGCACTTTGGAATAGATGTTGCTGTTAAAACATATTAACTATTATGTATCCATTCATTGTTAGGTTTGAATCCAAATTTTTATTTAAATGTACATGTAAGGACTAGTTTTGGAGGTATGTATTTTGCTACGGTAATCTTAAAACAATTATAGTAAGTCCCCTCAAACAATGTTTTAGGATGCTCTTTATTCTTGGAAATAGTAATTTTCTTTCATGAGTTCTTTCATCATTCTCATGTAAATAAATGTAAACTGTATTTTTATGATTTAGGTATTTATAGGCTCTACTGCATAGCACTCATTGCAAAATTTTAAAAATCAGGATAAATCCCCTTAGGTGATTATTATAAGAGGAGTAGAGGGCAGATAGAGGATATAAAAATCTGTAATTATGCTAATCCCTTTGGAGAACTTCTGAACACTCTATCCGACAGCCTACATCAAACTATTCACTTTCTGACACAGCCTGGCATAAACAGCCCTGCAGTTTCTAATAATTCCTGGTCATAAAGTTAACTGGTTCAAGGTTCACTGACTCAATAGAACCATTTAAAGTATAGAACATTTAATGACATAGGATTGAAATAAGACCTGAGCAGATTCAAAAAGGGAAAACCTTGAAAATACCTCCATCAATCTTGTCTCACAAAATAGACACTCAAAATACCTTGGGCAATCAAGAGAATGGTGACCTATTCGACTTGCTCCTCTTCAACATGTGGTTTTTAAAATAAAATTGGAGACTTGGAGCTAAGTCAGCAATTGGGAGGTTTTCCATTTTTACTAATGCAGGTTTTACTAATACTGAGTTGGACAGATTTGCCCAATTCAGACTCATATTGCTCTGAATTCTCTGGTCTCCACATCTGTAGAAACCTCTGAAATTTTGGATACAGCATGATGCTTGCTATAGTGTTCTGTTCTATCCTTCACTGGCCCATATCAAGAGTAACATTGTAACACATTGTAACACAAATTTCTATGACCTTGCAAAACTTAGTACAATTTATTCTCAAATCAGACAAACATTCCCCAGGGCAAAAATAATAACTTCTAAAAAATAAACAATGTGTCCTTTTATATTAAGCCAAAGTTATATAGCTGTTCTACTAGTCTTTGAGTTCCCATAATTAGCAATTATTACATTTCCTATTAAAGGATGAATAAAATATATTTACTTACTACAAAAGAATTTGACTCCACATGAAGATTGCCTAAATCGGTTTAAATCATTAAAGAGGTCTACTTTGACAACTACATTGATTTCCCCACGAATACCTAAAAAAACAAAAAACAAAAATAGTTTCTATCTTCATAAAATAATGTACAATGAAATAATCAAGCAAATAAATCCAAACTACTGCTATTAATATAATTTTAAACTCAACAGAGATGCTAACTTTATTTTCTAATTTCATTCTAAGTAGTTTGTTCCTTTGTTACATTTTTGAAGTAGATTTGTGTCTATTAGATATTGAATAATTTTCATTTTTATCACAGGCTTCCACTTAATTCAGAACGAAGCCCCATTTAAATTACGATATTTGTGGGTCATTTTAAAGATAAACGATAGGTGGCCAAACAGATAAGGTTGTAAATGTAGTGTCTCACACTGTTCGCATCAACCCCATTAGGCAGTCTACAGAGTATTGTCACATATTCCCGTTTTAATAAAAGTTAAATAGTGTGTGCAGTTTATTTATTATGCAGTTTCATCTATTATGAAAAACAGTTAATAAATGGCAGAAATGGGGTTTAACATCAGATTGTTAGGATTCCAGAGTTTATGCTTATAATAATGAATACAAAGCTGAGATTTAAAACAAAAGCAGTTTTATTCATTTCAATGAACGTAAGTTAAAGGTACAAGATTCCCCAAGAATTAAGCATTTTCAGAGCATGCTCTCATAAATAAGACTAGCAAACACCTATATCTAAACATTTGCTAAATATTTTCACATGACGATCCTGACTTTACATCAAATTTATACTTACAAGGGAAGACCTAAGAAAAGTTATTTGTTAACACCTCCACTGAAATAATGACAAATAATGTTCTAAACAAAGCACTCAGAAACATAATAAACTATGTTGCTGTGGTGTGCCTTTGCACTGATTCCGACTCCTAGCAACTTTACAGAATGTAGTAGAACTACTCCAGTGTTCCCTAAGGGAACAGATCACCTGGTCTTTTTGCCGGCAGTCAATGATGGGTTCACATTGTCGGCCCTTTGTGGTTAGTAGCCAAGGGTTTACTCACTGCCCTACCATGTTTAATATGAAATGTTTACAAAAGGTACTCATTCATACAGCTACTACCTTTAACTAAAGCCCAATTAATTCCTCAGAGACCCTTTTTATTGACAATATACAGTTTGACTACATGTATACTATAGGGGAAAAATGAATAAAAGCAAAGAAAAAACTAAGATAAGGATCCCAAAATAAAACTCTCCAGGAATAAAAATGTTATTAGGTAACTGCCATTTTCTCCAATGAGAGCACACGTGTGGGGCTTCAATACGTTGGTGGAAAAAAATCCCACTCCCTTTTGACTTCACTTTTCCAACTTTGTCAAGCACTCGTTTAGCAAATTTTTTGGTTTTAAACCAATGTGAACGCATTTTAAGATGTTTTACATCCTGAATTCTGTTATTCATAAGATAATATGCACAGTTCTACATGCCAAGGTCAGTATCAGGGGGTGGGGAATGTTCAGCCTGCAAGCCATCTAAGGCCCACAAAATCATCAAAAAACCAGCTAGCATCACACACCTCACCTAAGTAAAGCAGTTCCAGCGATAACATTAGATATGAATTAACTGAATGTTTGACCAAATATAGCAGGCTACTTTTTAAGTTGAAAATTATGCATGGCCTTGATGATGTTATAAAAACCCAAATGCCTCTTGGCAGACAAAAGGTTCCCTATCCCTGGCCGATATACCACATATACTTATGTGTAAGCCGAGTTTTTCAGCACATTTTTAATGCAGTTTTTGTGGTAAAATTAGGTGTCTCGGCTGATATTCGGGTTGGCTTATACTCGAGTACATATGGTATTTCTTACTTAAGTACAAACTTTTTTCTTCTTACCATTATAAATACTAGCAAATAATACTAGAATGAAAGATCCTGTAGGTACCATATATACTCGTGTATAAGCTGAGTTTTTTCAGCAATTTTTACGCAGTTTTTGTGGTAAAATTAGGTGCCTCAACTGATATTCAGGTCAGCTTGTACTCGAGTATACATATGGTAAGCCTCAGCAACTATCTTATTTTCTCTTAGAAAACTCAGAAAGGAATTGCTAGGTCAAAAAAGTAAAATTGGAGGAAAAAGAAAGGCTAGAGCAGGGGTTCTCAACCTTCCTAATGCCGCAACCCTTTAATAGAGTACAGTTCATCATGTTGGGGTGACCCCCAACCATAAAATTATTTTCGTTGCTACTTCATCACTGTAATTTTGCTACTGTTATGAATCAGGCGACCCCTGTGAAAGGGTTGCTCGGCCCCCAAAGGGGTCACAAAACACAGATTGAGAACCGCTGGGCCAGAGGGAAAAGCCTCTAACAATTAAGAATGGGTCCATTTGCTAATCTACAGAGACCTTATATGTGTAAGCTAGCAGTTTTCAAATGGTTTAATGGCAAGACTCCCTTTGCAAATTTTTTTTCTGCTACATATTGTTGATCTCAGTAACTTTTATGACAGGTAGCATATACTATTTACAGAAAAAATTTTAACTTGGGATCTCATATCTTAAAATATTGTTCCTTACCATGTATAGTGTCATAAATTGGGAACCATCCTGAGATGACCGTCGCAGCTTCACTATAGAGCAGAGGGTCAATGTCAATGTACACTTTACCAATGGCATCATTTGCACTGTAAGTGTCATGGTCAAGGACTGTGATCTGGAGAGGTTCATCTTGTAAATCTTCATCATCCACCTAAAAATATACCTTAAAATTAAATCCTATCACTTAAAAGATTCAATATAACATACACATGTAACAAATGAAAGTGACTCACGTTTCTGAAAAATAATCTTATAGATCAGTCTCCAAGCACAAATATAGAAATTAACACACACACACACACACACACACACACACACACACACACACGCCTGTACCTTCTTCCATACATAAGATGCTGTATTTCTAAAGGGGAAAAAATATATAGTTTACGTTTAGGCCAAAAATAGGGTAATTTAAACATATTTCAAAAGATGAATTTAGCTACTTTTCCTACACATGACCCTCTATTTCTCTATTCTATTTACAGTATCAAGCAAAAATGCTCAAGGGCTGTCCTAAAAGAGTACACCCACACTAACGACCATAAAGATGTCGATAACCCCAGTGTCGACACCAGAAATTCTACGGACAATTTTAGAGAAAAAAACTTTAAGTAAAACTAGCTTATTTTTTGTAAGAAAAGTACAGGCACTGTCTCAACCACTGGGATTATATGAAGAACAAGAAAGAAAGGGGATAAAAGCTGTCTCCCACTCTGGCTGCTATCCTCTGATACCATAGTATTCTGTACTTTGTCAAGACCCACCATAAAATATTCTTGCTAAAATAGAATACAATATTCCAGATAATAATAAAATTAAAGATATCCAAAGCTACCTAAACCCACTGCTATGAAGTGGGTCTGGCATATGCCGATCATATAGAACAGGTAGAACTACTCCACAGGATTTCTGAGACTGCAAATCTTTATAGAAGCAATGGCCTCCTCTTTCTTGCATGGAGTGGCTGATGGGTCCAAACTGCCGACTTTTTGGTTAGCAGCCCAATGTTGAACCCACGCTGTACCACCAGGACTCCAAGACTAGGTCAGAATACAAAATATATAAATATTATTTCCTATGACTAAAATACTATGTTTAAACGAGCTGAACTGATTTCACTGTCAACGTGCCATAATGTGAATTCAGATTAATTTTGTAATTGATTAAAATTTATCATCCTTAAACATGCTTTGGTCAAGTATTATCTCTATAATCCTCATAATCTAGTTAATTTTCAATATTTAAATATTAAGAAATATGCCTTTCCTTGTTTCCTATAAAATTTCTTATAAATTATTTGCTAACAACCAAGCCAGTGAGGATTATTTTGAGTATTAAAGTACACAAAGGAATTATTATTGGTATCACTGATGTGATTTGTAGTTTTGTTTAAAAAGGGGTACATAATTAAAATTACTGACATAACCTGCACAGAGAAAACATACACACTCAGAAAGAACTCTATTACAGAGTGGATTCTGACTCATAGCAACCCTATAAGATAGAATGAAAATGCCCTTTTGGATTTCTGAGACTTTAAATCTTTCCAGAAATAGAGAGCCTCATATTCTGACTAAGGAGCGGATGGTAGCTTCAAATTGTTGATCTTGTCATAACCAGACCAACATGTACCCCACGATGCCACCAAAGACAGGAAACAAACCCAGTGCTTTCTGGCCAATCTCAATTCCTAACAACCCTATACAGTGCCATCTTTCTAAAAGGAGAAAGTCTTATCTTTCTTCCAGAGTGGCTGGTGAGTTTGAATGGCTTAATCCACTGTGCCACCTTTAACTTACCCAAGGCACATCACTTACAATTTATGGGCAAAATCATGCAACATTTTGAACTTACATTAAAATACATCTGAGGGTAAAGTACAAACGTGGGGGACAAGTTAAACATAACAAGGACAGCAAAATTTAGACAATGGTTAAAGGCAGGTGGTAGGCTGCAACCCACTACATGGTCTCTCAAGTAGTTAAAATAAAATAATTACTTTGAATCTCTCATCAGTTGACTCATGTACTGTCCAATGGCTCTTCTAATACTACAGCAGTGAAAACCCAGCAGGCTGTTGAGCTCCACTGGTTTCTACCTTTCACAGGGTGCAGCTCTACCACTCTCCTCTTGCTCGCTTTAGTGTAAAATATTTTGAGTTTTCATTCTTTGGCAATTTTGTGCCATATCCACACTTACAGAGGTTTTGCTGCATGTTATTTATGAATCTTTCTTCCAAAGACCTCTCTCCAACTTCTAACTACATTAATAACACTCTCTACGTACCCTTCATTTAAGAATTAATTCACTCATCTAAGACTATCATCTAATTCGTGGTGTAGCTATATATCCCTTACCCTAACATTATAGGGCTCTGTGCCAAATAAGTACTTAAAAACAATTCTTAAAATAGTAAGGGATTTCAAAAAGTTGGTGAAAAAATTCCATTATCTTTTCATTTCATTTTTTCATGAACTTTTTTAAGCTCCCTTATATATGGAAAGCAAATAAGAGGCACATAGAAATTTAAAATTAATAGCAGTGAATATTGAATATATTAAATAACCAATTCCAAATCATAAAGTATTACAAATTAGCAAAAATATTTTTGTAATTTTAAGTTGTAAACTATCCCAGAAATAAAACGTAATTATAACATAGGGTCAATCCACATACATTCAAAAAGTGCCAACATTTATAGGGCAATTCTAATCAAAGGGGGGGAAATATTGTCAGGAATTCCAAATTCTCATGGAAAACAAACTTTCTGGAGCCAGTGAGGTTAGATGAACCCCAAAACTATTTCCCTGAGCAAATATTTAAACCATAAAACTATCCCGTGAAGTCACACTTAAACCAAACAATGAAACTAAAACAACCTCACTGACATCAATCAATGTTGACTCATACGCAAACCCCCTCTGTGGGTTTCCGAGACGACAGCTTTTTATGGGAGCAGAAAGCCCAGTCTTTCTCCTGAGAAGCAGCTGGTGGTTTCCAACTACCCAACATTGGGATTGCAGCCCAACACATCACCACTACACCTCCTCAGGGTTTCCTGAGCTGAATTAGTGAGGATGCGAGCATTTTGCTTCTTTAGGTAAGCATATGCAAGCGATGGCACAACTCTAATGCACAGCACAGTGCGGCTCCGTCACAACGGTCACAAGGGGTAAAACCTGACTTGATGGCAGTATGTTCTGAATACCAAAGGAAACTTTACGTACGTCTTCTAAGAGTGGCAGACATGTTTTCTTTTCATACACCAATTCTTCCTTTTCTTGTCAAAATTTTCCCCCCCCAAAAAAAGGTTGCATAACTTGAATACAATCAATGTTATTTAACTGTACTGGTAAAACTTGTTGAACAGTCAATCTTGGTAGTGTGTGTTTTCTGCATATTTTCAGAAAATTTTTTAATAATTTTTGTTTAAGGCCAACATTCAAGAACTTACCTCAAATTTAAACCATTCAGAGTTCCACTGAGGGTTAAGTGACTTATGATAGACATCTGTTTTAAAAGTCGTATTTCCAAATTTTACCTAAAACAACAAAAAAAGCGAAATATATCCAAAATATTTCCCAAAAATATCCAAAATATGAAGGTAAATTTTAATAATGATTCATTATGGAGTGAGGAAACACAACTACGCCCTGAGATAAATGGGAAAGGGCAAGGAATGGGTCCAGATCAGCTTATTGAATCCACCTGGAATAAGGTTCACCCACTGTTCTGCTCTACCTCTACAGAGAAATTAAAATTTTAATTATGACAGCAAGGAGAAAGGAATCACCAAACATGAATTCACAAGAAATAGGAAATTCAAGAGGAAGTAAAATAAAACCAGCAGATTAAAAAAAAAATCTAGCTGATCTTACCATCTCCACAAGGGAAGTTAGAACTAGACCCCATTAATACAAGAACTGAGTATTATTTCCTTTTAATTTTGACCTTCCCTTTATTTTTTCGTTCCTTACCTGAGCATACAGTGTAAGCAATAAACCATTATCCTTTAATGGTTTTATGTTCCTATCTTTAGGGACAGGAAGAGCCTAGGTGGGGACAATATCTTTTCTCAAAACCAATCTTGGTCAACAGTGAAACATGAATATTCAAAAACAAAAAATAAATAAATAAGGAAAAGACTAAGGAACAAAGCACATTAAATCTCTGGGAGTTGCTTTCAACCAAGAATGGTAAGCGCAAACCCTCAGATTGGACTTGGCAAATGGTCAAGATGCTCAAGACCCAAATAACTAGACATCTACTTCCTAGCTTTCCTAAATTAGATCACCTCCAGGGCTTACCCGAATTCCTTCAGTAACCCCACCAATCCTATTTCCTAACCACAAAATTCACTAAAGGTTATGTCCTGTATTACAACACCCAACAGAGTGTTATGCGATTGTTGGATTAAGTTCCTGCTTTCTTTTTGATCTACAATCTTACTTTTGGTATGAGAATACCTGCTGGTATCTCTTCTTAGGCCATCCAGGAATTCTCCTAGATTCTAAAACAGCAATGATTGTTCCTTTTTCTAGGTATGTTGTCCTTCAATTTTGGATTGATCAAGGATGGTACTAATCATTTAGTGCCTGGATAGTTTGATTGGAGAGTCAGACAAGTTTTCAATTACATCAAAATAATCATTTCTCCCATGGTAAAATAAAATATGATCAAGTCAAAAGATAATAAACTAAGAAAAAAAAACTACTTGCCAAATATCTCACAAAGCTAATTTTCCTAAATATAAAACATAAGAAAAAAAGATACAGAGAAACAAAGATCAATTCATAAAAAAATTCATTATGAATTCATAAAACTAAAAAAAATCCTTGCCAAAGGATCAAAGGGTTTGAAAACACGCTTGACTAACAAGGCATGCTCTTACTTTGTTAGTGGGAGCATGCACTACAACAATCTCTACAGAAAGCAGTTTAACAGCATATATCAAAATCTTAAATGGCTATACTTTTAAACAGCCCTTAAGTGGTGCTACCAGTTAGTGCACTTGACTGCTAACGGAAAGGTTGGAGGTTTGAGTCTACCCAGATGTGCCTCAGAGAAAAGGTAAGGCAATCTAATTCTGAAGAATCAGCCACTGAAAATTCTATGAAGCACATTCTACTCGACACACAAGGGGTGGCCACAAGTCAGAGGAGACTCGCTGGCACCTAGTCTGCCTTTTGGTCACTGTGTTGGAATTTATCATACAGAGGTGTGCAGGGGTAAATATACGAAGCAAGCAACATATACAGTAGAAAAGTACGAGAAACAATAGAGCCTTCATGTTAGAATTGATTTTAAATTAAGTATGGCAATGCCATACAATGTTATCCTTGTTGTATACTGTCCAGCCGATTCTGACTCACTGTAACCCTGTAGGACAGAGTGCAACTTTCAGTAAGGAATCTAAGTCTGCAATCTCTCTGGAAGCAGACTGTCACACGTTTCTCATGCGCAGCAGCTGTTCGATTTGAACCAGGGCTTTGAACCAAATCATCAAACCAATTCATCATGGCCACTGAAGCGAAACCAGAACAGACCCTTATGCTGCAATGATAACTGGATCAGGAGAAAATCATTGGTTGACACCCAGCTAGAGTGTAATCTTCCTCCTAAAAAATAAAGGCAGCTCTCGCAGTGACTCTCTGCTGAGGATCGAAAATCATTGGGCCTTCCCAAAGATGGCAGTTGCCTGCAGTCACTTTTAATTGGCATGACTCCTGGCAGCCCTGGGAATAATCCAATCTCCTGCATCAGGCTCCTAAAGGGCTCACAATGCCTCTTCCAAGTCTCCCATTGACTTTGACCTGTAATTTTTCCAGTTATCATTCCAGAATCCCCATCATTTACAAATTAGTCTTTCTGATTTCCCTGTGTTAGCCATGACTAAATCAGCTCAAACTGCTTGAAGCTATGAATCAAATTGCTAGCCTTATCAGTTAGCAGTCAACTTAACTACTGTGCCATTGTGAATGCTTAAATCCGTACAACACAGTGCTAAGATAAAAAACAAAACAGCTCTCCAGCCCTGATACAGAACAACATGCAAAATGCCTATTTCTAGATCAAGGCAAATTTTGTGGTATTTTTATGGAGGAAACATGTTATGAGGCATACAATATATGCCTGTATATACACAGATGACTTCTAGAGAGATACCTAACAAACTGTAACAACAGTGGTTGCTAAAGAGAACAGGATGACTATGCTGCATTTCTGTATGCAAAGTATCTAGGATATAATTATTGTTTATCCAAAATTGCTTTCTTTGAAGTAAAATGTTGCTAGGATTTATAAAGCCATTCAAATACCAAATGTTTAAGGGCTTTGGCTCAACTTTCAAAACTAACCTATCATTTTTTCTTAACTATTAATTCAGAACATTCTTAATTTTCTTCCCACTAAGCAGTTGTGTTATACAGTGCCTTTTTTTTTTTTCTAGTTGGGGGTTAGGATCTAAGCAAAGGAGAGTGAACTTTCCATTGTAAATATATGAAGGATCTGCTCCTCCCCAAATTGTATTAAACAAATAAGCCAAAATCAAATTTTAAAAGGAAAATGGCTAGGGTGTTGATTTTACTAAGATTATGATGATCTCACCTCTACTAAGAAAAGAATCAAATTTCATTCAGTATTAACTTAATTAAAAGGGGATTTTATTACTCAGCAACTAAGTGAATGTCTGGACACAATGAAATGTTATGATGTTCTTTCGTAAAGGCATTACCTTTCCCCACTTAGGAGCTAAGTTACCTAGAGAATGCTAGTTAGACTTCCTCTGAACAGGAGAGTGTTGCTATCATTACATGAGGTAACAGGTATGCAAACAGCAAATGCTTGGTACACAGAAGATAATCACTCATTATTACCATTATTTTTTACAAATGGTCCCACTCAGGAAGCACTCACAGAACCAAACACACTAGTGGGTTGTAATAGTTAGCACGTACACACAGAAAGTATATCGTACACATTATTTGCACAAAAATCTGGTAATTTCCTTTTTGCTCCTTGTTCCCTCAAAGCCACCTGAACTCACAAAAAAATGGAAATATACTTTAAGCAAACAGTTTACAAAGTTTGTAAAATGGGATATTATTTTCAGTGATGTTTCCCTTACATGAGACTCCGTCTCATTCACCCGTGGGTTCCTCTAAGAATAATCATCTCTCAATACCTATGATAATCTTTAAATACTAGATGGCCCTCACTGGTGTCTAAATGCCTCTTATCATATATTAAAGAAATTCTCTTAACCAATAAAATCAGGACCAGTACTTGAACAGTAGCTAAAATTACTTAGAGAATCATTTTAAAATGATAAAAACCATGAGATATTGTTTTAGAATAAAATAAGGAAGCAACATTCTTTCCTCAGCCTCATCATCTAAGGTTACACCTTCTCTTTGTGCAGATCCACTGGTTGGCATTTCCTGTCACCTTTCAACTATGAGACACAAAGATAAGTCTTCTAGTGCAGCTTCAGCATCATAAGCCAGAACTGATTCGGTGGCAACTAACATCTCCCCTGGGTTTTCTTGTTTTTGTTTTGTTTGGGGGGAGGGGGGTTGTGCATAAAACACACTTATGAAGTATCACCTGTGATTTCTGGTTTGGGTTTCTTTAATGTGGGATGGAACCTAAAACCACTTGTCAACAAACAGAGCTTAGATCGTAAACTTTTTAGAATCATTTCTCCATCTAACTCAAGAGTAATTCTAAAGGACTGCTTGCATTAAGGCTTCACAGAGCATGAATCATTTCCACATTCATTCCACTCATTTAGATAACGCTTAAATAAATTACATAAGGAAACAAAAATAAATAGAGTTGGCACTGACAGGTTTGGGAATAAACACAACTGCTTCTGGGTAAAGCCTATCAGCTAACTGATGGGGGAGTCCGGGGGCAGTCTCATGATGCAGAGCCATCAGAGAACAGGTTTGGTGGGAGGGGCACAGAGCCCTGGTGGCTGCAGCACGGCACTCAGGGAAGTTGGTTAAGAGAGCTTCTACTATGTGGCCATCTCCGTTAGTTTTCAGGCCACTGGGAGATCTGGATCCCCCTTTGCAGTTGTTAGCTGCCAGGGAGCTGGTCTCCGCATCTTGGTGATCTCATGCACATCAGATCGAAATGCTGCTAGGACCTAGGTCATGCAATGATCGGTTTCAGGTCTAACCAATGTGATGGATGCACAGGGTTTTCACTGGCTGGTTTTCAGAAGTCGACTCTCGGGCTTTTCTTTCCGGTCTTAGTCTCAAAACTGCCGAAACCTGTGTCAGCATCAGAGCAACCCAAAAGCCTCCACTAACAAACAGTTGCACATGAGCTGCTGCATTGGCTGAAAACTGAATTTCAATATCCCACATAGAAATCGTGAATTCCACTACAGAACCACCAATACCTTTATGGACCCCTGCACCTCGCCAAATTTATTTCCTACTTCTATTCAACAATAATCCTCCCTTCGGTTTACATACATATCCTTCCTTTACCTTTTACCAAATTTGTCCTATTCTAAAATCCCTTTTTCCTCTCAGCCTACCTAAATGATATCATCCTTAAAGCTCAGCAGAGATTTCTCATGCCTGCATTATGTCAGGCTTCATCATCTCCCTCTTCTATGAGATGATATACTAGAATTTACAGCCTGCACCACATAAATTAGCCCTTTGATAGATTCTAATCCTTCATTACTTTTCCTGCATTAATTTAGCCCTTTCTGCTGAATTCCTATTAGCACATAACTATATTCTAATATTGTGCATTAAAAATGAAAACCTATGTACTCACCAGATAGCACACTATTCCTATTTTATAACCATATTTATTAAGACAAGGTGTTTCTAAATCACAAAACTACTCACTACAGTATAGGATTTCCATTCTCATTGCTACTGGCAAGATCAGTAAGAACCTCTATGTTATTCAATCCAACGATTTGTGTCTTCTCTTACTTCTCAGTCCCATTTGACAATGAAGAGCTTCTTCTCCTCTCTGGAAATCCTCCTCTCCTGCCTTCTGTGTCATTGCTTTCCCAATGTCTCTCACACCAAGTGGACTATCAACATGTTTCCTTTCCAAAGGTCTCTTCTTCTAATAAGCCTCTTTATGTCAGGTTTCCTCACAAATATCTCCCTCTTCTATGCCGAGGTTTGCAAACGGGACAGAAGGGCGTTTTTAAGGCAAACACTAGTAGTAGCATCTAGTGAAGGACCAGGGTGCTAGCTAGCAATCCTGCAACCAAGAGTAAGCCTCTAGCCTGTCCATGTCTTGACTTTTAAATTCCCCCAAAAGAGTTACATGGGTACAAAACCTACTTAGAGCCTGTTTTATACATAAAACATGTCTAAGGGGTTCCTAATACATGTGATTTTCAAGATATACAACTACCATGTAAATCAAGGAAACTTCAGATTAAGAATTACCATGACAAAAAACAACAACAAAAAAGAATTACTAAAAAAAAAAAAGAATTACTATGAAAATATTTGGAAAGAAACTGTGGTAATTTAGAGAAGCTATAGAGAACCTTGGGGATATTTGACTTGGAGCTGAAATCAGGCTGTCTATTATTTCGACTCTAGGCATGAAGAGCCCAAATAAATATTGCTCTAATACGCTGGTTCATCACGTCAATTTTGACCATTTTTACTTGGCCTCTTCCAGACTCTCGAGTCTAGGTTATTATTTTCCAAGCCCTAGGCTTGTGCTAATTTACATGAGTTTTAAAGTAATCACTAGATTTTAAAAAGCAATTTTCCAATTTTAATCCGCAGCACTTAATTGACTTCCTACCCTCAGGCATTAAATTATCCAGCAACAGTTCATCAGACCAACCAGTCTATACAAGAGCAGGAAGTGTCCCAGCGGTGCTTTAGAACTTGCGCTGATGATTCAGATAATGTTGCGCTGTCGCTCGGATTGGGGTGTGTGTGTGTGGGGGGGGTGTTTCTGTGGTCGCGCGGCCACGCCCTAGGAGCTCCAGACTGGCAGGTGGCCTGTTACATGAGAGTCCGGACATCAGGGTCACCCCATCACGCAGGGCTTCTAGAAACAGCCTCCGGGCGCGGAGTGCGGCGCTGACACCTGCGGGCCGCGCACGCATCGCACGGGCTGCAGTCGCGGCGGCAAGCCCTCGCGAAAGGGTTGGGCAGCAGCAGGAGGGCAGTCCAGAAGGGACCAGGCTGAGGACCAGCTGGGGGCTGAGATGGGACGAGACGGAGGCACGGGGCTTGGCGCTCCCTATGTTCGGGGGGACAGGACCTTGCACCAACCTCCACGAAGGCATCAGTCAGGTCACTAGCTCGGTCCATCACTGGCAAATGGCGCCCGGCCACGATTTTCACCTTCAGCTTGCCCGGCATCTTCCCGACGTCGGCCTCGCCCGAGGCGCCCGCAGAAACCAACAAGCGAGTCTGCGCCGAGCGTTGGGCCGGGCGGGGGCAGGGCGGGAGCGCGCGGGGGCGCGCGGGAGCCGGACCGCGGAGGCGCCGGCGGCGCCGCTCACGCGCGGAGAAGAGCGAGCGTCCCGCGGGGGCGCCGAGACCTCATTGCGGACAGGCAGCCGGAGGAGAGAGCCCGGTGGGTTTCCGTGACCCTGCCCCCCAGGACCGGGAGGGAAGGCAAAAGCCGGTCAACATCTCGTTGGTCCTCGGCAGCCCCTACATGTGTTTCTCCTCCCCTCAAACATGGCGGCTCCCGGGGCGTTGAGGCGGCATCGATAATTCGGCGCTCCGCCCACTTCTCCCGGAGAAATTAAATTCGCGGTGGAAAGATAAAGGGGGCGGGGCGGACTTCAAGGAAGCGGGAGGGTAGGGTGATGGGTCGAGTACTGAATCATCCACCGAGCCGGATCGCCGGGCTAGCGCTGTCCTGGTTCCAAAGGGCGAAATCGGCCCCTTTCGCCAGGCGCTGCTCCGGGTGTGCGTGCCGATCGCCGCTGCTCCAGCTGGAAGCGCCCCATTTCGGGAGCCCGCTGAGAAGCCCCCGCGGGAGAGACGTGCCGGAGAAGCATTCTTCACTCGGCATGAACAGCCCGTGACTGGTTCGTGGAGACCGTTTAGCTGGTTGCTCCCCTGGAAGCAACGGGGATGCGGGTGAATGTGCATGTGGTAGTTTTTTTGTTAAATGAACAAGAAGTATGAGGGGCATCTCAATTAGTGGAATAAGTATTGTTTCGTTACACCGAGACACACCAGAAGCTAACAGAAATCTCTCCATGCCAAATATCAAAAACAACAGGCACTCCACATTAACAAAGTCAGCCTTTACAATTTTCGTGGATATAATAGACCACTAGCTTAATGGCACCCACTGCCTCGGGGCTGATTCTGACTTAAAGTGACTCTATAGGACATGGTAGAATTGTTCCCTAGGGTTTCAAAGGTTGTAGGGAACCAACTGCCAACTCTCCCATAGAGAAGCTTGTAGATTAGAACTGCCCACCAATGCTTAATCCGCTGCACCACCAGGGTAGATCCAAACCCACCCCTCCCCCCAAAAAAACAAACTCACTGTTAGCAAGTCAACTCTGACTCCCAGCATTGGTGGGTTGGAACTACTGACCTTCCAGTTAGCAGCCCAACAGTTCACCAGGGCTCCTTTCTGGGTTAATCAGGAACAGAAAATTTCTAAATGGTGGACAGTTTGTTAACTTCAAAAATACTCAAAGGGGTGGATTAAACATTCCAGGTTAAAAAAAAAAAATTCTAGGTAGTAGTGATCTAGAATTATTCTTTTAGGGCAAAAAGTGCATTCTGCAGAAGGCTTTTGTTCTCACGAGTGGGAAACTGAACTTTTCCACAGAAAAAAGTGAAATCACTTCCCCAGACTAAAACTCCAGAAGATAAAGTGTTGATTTTTTTCAACTTGAGACACCTTTCTCAATTCAAACCATAACAAAGGCCATAGTGACCATGCGACTTTTCTCAGAAGCACTGGCAGCTTTGGGGGGAGTTCTGACTCTGCCCTAAAAATATCCTTGCCTTACTCTGAAGACTCTCTCAGACTGTTTGTTTTGCTTTGGTAGTAGGGTTGAAATAGTGTTTTTCCCCTCTGAAATCAAAATTTCCCCATATCCCTACTTCATTTTCTAAAAGACATTTTTTTAAACCGCAGGCATAAAAACATTAGAAAGCTGAAGTTTAGCAACAATTTTAATCGAAAACAATACATTGTAGTACAAGATGTTGCAATGTAAAAAATATTTGCAAATTGCACAATTAGAGGTTAATAATTTTTGCCTCCTAATTAGTAGGCAGTAAGTTACTTGTTCATACATAACCTGTTACCTCAGGCTTCATCAACAGGAGATTATAATTAAGATACTTCCTGAAGACTTTTTTCAATACAATTAAGAATTGACTTAAGTTTAACTTTCCTAATAATACTGGTTTGTTTTAATTAGTGCAGGGGCTAATGCTGACTTTCCTGACAGATCTATCATAAGGATCTGAATCCTGATTGCTTTCTGTAGCTTTCAGACACTATGACTGTGCATTTTAGATTCTGCAATAATAATAAGTGGCCTCAAAATCAATAAACCCAGTACTGAATGTATTTTCCTTCCCCCTCCCCACAGGTGCAACAACAGAGCAAGAACAAAACACAAAAATCTTGGTCCTCTTTCAGTGTGTTCCCTATTTGAAACAGGAGCAACATCAACTACCTAATCAATTGCTCAAACGGAAATTTGGTACACTAGGTTAGACCTCGGGGCCTGGTCTAAAGTTAAACCCCTATATTCAGTTCAGTTACTGGCTTTGAATTATTCCTAAAGCAAATTCAGCTGTGTGGAGGACAAACCTGAGATAAGTGGGCAGTTAGATTCTTCTCCCCATCTCTGTTCCCTTGTATCTTATGAAGGCATGCCTAAAGCTCAGTAGGCCTAATGGCTATGTTGAGTAAAACGCACTCAGGGTTAGGTTACTGATGTGGAGCACATTGCTTTTCACCAGTGTCCAAGAATGCACTCAGCCACATCACCCAGGAGTAATGTGCAGATTCTAGGCACTTGGGTTTCTTATTAGACCAGCATCAGGACAAGCTCCTCTTATTCTAGTTGTGCCTGTTTTTATCTACTTAAAGCCTCTTTCAAAAACTCTAGCCAGAGCCAACAGTTATCCTTGACTCTTGCACACCACACCTGACCCCACATTAATTAATCAGCAAATCCTAATATTTATAGCCACTGAAGATCTCTCAAACTCATCTACTTTCCTTCACTGAGCACTGATCATCCCTCTTCCATGCTTGCTCCTCCCTAATCTAGTCATCATAAGTGGTTCAAGAGGTCGTTTTAAAAAAGCAAACTTTAGTACTTCTTTGGGAAGATATCAAACTCAGAAAAACAAAACCAAGATACATAGTACCTTACATGTTGTTTCCAAGACTATGGAAGCCTACAGCTTCAGCTGTGTCTCACAGAGCAGCTGATGGGTTTGGACCACTGACCTTGTAGTTAGTAGCCTAACATCTAAATCATTGCACTACCACAGAGTAAGTAAAATTGCCTAATGTCAGAAGAAACTTTCTAAAAGTTTTACTATTATATATGTATACATATATATATGAAAGACAAGGGGTAAATAAATATATCGTAGTATTATAAAGCCTCAGGAAGTTAACAGCAAATGTGATTTAAAGGTTAGTGGTATAATGATTAATCATGTATCAATTAGGCTAGAAATGACAATTAGGCTGAGCAAATGATTATGTGATGGACTGCTAATTGAGAGGCTGGTAGTGTGAATTAGCACAACAGCTTTGCAGGAGAAAGCTGATAATCTGCTCCCACAAAGTTTACAGCCAAAAAAACAGAGTATGTAACAGAGCTGCTCAGTCACATATGGGATTCCATGAGTAAGAATCCACGCCATGGACCCTAACAACAACATGTTGTCTAGTTGTTCAATTAAGCGCTAGTCTAGATGTTGCTCTAAAAGTATTTACATGTAATTAACATTTAAATTGGTTGCCCTGAAGTTCAGCAGATTACCCTCCATAATTTAGAAGGGCTTTATCCAACCAGTTAAAGGCTATAAGAGTAAAAACTGAGGTTTACCAAGGGATAAGAAAGGCGTGGCCTACAGAAATATTCATTCATCTTAGCTATTAATAACTTATCTTTTTCAGCCCACATCTTTTATGTGATGAAAATTAACTAGGGTGGCAGGGATTTCTTGGTGAAGTAGAGGATTGCTTTGCCCTATGGAATACATTTTAGTAGGGGAGAACTTGCACTAAATAAGTAAACGAATACTTTAACTTCACACAAGTCCAGGTACCATAAAGAATAATTATTGGTGACGTTAAGTGTTGTCCAGTCAGTTCTGACTCAGAGAAATCCTACAGTAGTCCCTCCCTACAGTAGTCCCTACAGTAGTCCCTCAGAGGGACTACTGTAACTAGGACAACCCGACATTAAGACTGAGGAGGTGACCTTTGCAGAGGGAGAGTCGGTGAGAAATGCAAGGGTGTCCAGGGAAGAGGGAGAGGGAAGAAATCTGCTTCTCCAAACCAACCCGCTCATGTTTCCGTTGTAGTCCACCAACTTTGTTTCACATACCATGAAACTTATTTAATAAGCATGAAGAAATAAAAACATTATCGTTCGGATAAATTGACCATTTTAGCATCATGAAATGCCTTGCTAGTGATACTTTTGCCTTAATACATATTTAATTTACATTAATATAACCAGGTAAGCTTTCCTTTGGTCAGTATCCCCATAGTGTATATTTTTTCTACCCCTTTTCTCAACTTTTCTTTGTATAAATTCTGCTTAATCTGTCCTCCCCACCCCCATATAAGTTCCATGAAGTCAGAGAGTTTTGCCTGTTGGAGTCACTAATGTTTTCCCTAGAACAATGCCTTTCTCAGTGTAACACTCAGAAAATATATATTTGTTGGACGCATGATAGCATGCGATGCTAGTTTCCAAGAAAGACGAGATCTCGTCTGATCTGGTAGTTCTGTAATGTGTCACTCAGCAAGCTGCATGGTTGCTGTTGCTCTCAGGTGCCATGAAGTCAATTCTAGCCCGTCGCGGTTATATGTACAATACTATGAAACTGCCCAGTTCAACACCGTCCTCACAATTGTTATGTTTGAGCCCACTGTTGTCGTGACTGTGTCAATCCATATCCTTCAGGGTCGTCCTTTTTCCCCTGCTGACCCTCTACCAAGCATGATGTCCTTTCCCAGGGACTAGTCTCTCCTGATCACATATCCTTAGTGGGTGGGATAAAATCTTGTCATCCTCTCTTCCCAGGAACATTCCAGCTGTACTTCTTCCAAGACAGATTTGTTTGATTTCTCACAGTCCAAGTTACTATTCTTTGCCAAAACCATAATTCAAATGAATCAATTTCTTCAGTTTCCTTTATTCATGGTCCAGCTTTTACAT